AAGTTCTTAATGGGGGAAAATGGTAGCAAACCAGTTTGAGGTGAGAATGGGTTTGGATGCCCTCCCATCACTGATGGAGGGTGAAAATTTCCTCCACAAATTGCCACAGCAGAAGTCAACCAACAGGGTTATTTCAGAAATACCACTGTTCCAAGACTCTTACCATGAAAACACACCAGCTGTAGCATTTCTTGGGTGTTTGCTATGAATAACCTCTGCATCAAGTTTCTGAAGTATTAACTCCACGGTAGGAGTGAAGAACATCTTTCCTCCATGTTACAAAGTCAGAATAGGGGAGAATAGGGTCTTGTCTTACTGTCTGCAAAGCAGGCAATGGCACAGCCCTCATATTTCTATCATCATGCATCTTTTTTCAGTTCTCACTTCAGAAACCAAGAAAGGGATCTTTGATCCTGTGTCTTGAGGTTTAACTATTTTGTTAAAATTCAAACTATCCAGGAGAGCAGCATTTCCTCAGCCTATTCACACTCTTTCAAAAAAAAAATTAGATTACGTGAAGATTGACAGGAACAATAAGATGTCTGAGTAACTAAATAACATAGTAGTAATTACTAGATGTTATAATTATTGTAAATATTAATTATATTAACCATTTAACTACATTTAATTAGGACATTATTGATTAATTCTGGTATTATACTATTAAATAGCAATAATGACATAATTACATAATGTGATAATGAGAAATTTCCCTTAAAAAAACAGAATTTGTTTTCAGTTTTCTGTTCAAGTGGTTCTACCATGTTCATGACTGTTGAAGGAATATCTGTCCCTTTCTTCCTTCCACACCTTCTTCCATCTTTAATGCCAGTGTGGCAAACTATCTCACCCTGCCATTTCTAGTTCTACACTTTAAAATTTTTTTTAAGTGGATTCTTCCATTACCCCACCACCATACCCAAATGCTTTTTGTACTCTTCCCAGAAGCAGTAAATATGGCCAGGTTCTAGGGCCTGGCCAAAATCATGCACTAGTCTAATTGCTGAAATAATGTTCCCTACTTAGTGGTCTAAAGGACAGGGTTTTGTCTTTATGAAATCCTCCCTCCATAATGATTATAGGTTTTTCTGGGCAATTTTGCTTGAAGGGGTTTACCAATACCTTTTGATTAAGGTATTTAGCATCTCAAGGTGTTAGTCTCTGCTCCTGATTCCCTAAGGAATCAGGAATCATTTACTCCCCTGAGAGTAAACTCTCTACACGGCTAGAATATGTGTCAAGAAGAGTCACCCACACAAAGCCTTACTTAATTTAGGCAAAATTCTTTTCATGTATATAATTGTTTCTGGTCAATAATCTTTTTTACCTTCTTCTTAACGTTTATTTTTCAGCATTTAACAGGTAATAAGACTAACTCTAACTCCTCAGTTCAAAAGAACACCCATGGCTATTATTACTGTACCTATCTGTATACTGGTTTACCACAGTCATCAAAAATTTCAGTTCCTACAGAAGCTGCACATATCTGAAATGATTGGTTCCCCAGACTCTGCCACAAGATCCAAAGGACTTCTGATTTTTTTTTTTTTCTGAAGAGGAGCAGAGGACAAGCCAAATCCATGCAGATCACCTGCTTCACAGTACACAAAGAGCAGAATTAAAGTCTGTATCATCTTCATCTTCCTCAGCTACTTTCATTTGCAAATAGATATAATCCATCCTTTGAACTTTTTCAGTTCCGTATTTGGTTCTGGGGTAGTCATTTCAAATATTTTATTTCATAGAGTTCCTGTAACTTCTGAAACTTGTTTTAGTTAGCAGTCTTCAATTTGCTGAATATCTTTAGTTAAGTTTAAGAATTCCTTCCCTGAGCAAGACAAGCTGGTGACTTGCACCTAGAGATGACAATGTCCTTGGCTGGCTCCAGGTGATAGGAACTAACGTTTCAGCTCCCTCCTCCTGAGCTGGGATGCCCTCAGCTCCTTTGAGTATGAGCTTTTTGTCTCTCCTGGAGATTCAGGAATGACATTCCTATCCCCACCCACCCCCCTGCAGGTGAGCCATTACAGAATCACAGAATCATCTAGGTTGGAAAGGACCCTGGAGATCATCTAGTCCAACCATTCACCTAGCACAGTTCCCACCTACAGCATATCCTTAAGCTCTAAATCGACCCTACTCTTGAACACCTCCAGGGATGGGGACTCCAACACCTCCCTGGGCAGCCCATTCCAACGCCTAACAACCTGTTCTGGAAAGGAATGCTTCCTAATATCTAGTCTAAACCTTCCCTGGTGCAACTTGAGGCCATTCCCTCTTGTCCTGTCGCTTTCTACTTGGTTAAAGAGACTCATCCCCAGCTCTCTGCACCCTCCTTTCAGGTAGCTGTAGAGGGTGATGAGGTCTCCCCTCAGCCTCCTCTTCTCCAGACTAAACACC